TATATATTCATATATTTTATATATAAATGTTCTAAATGTCCTTTGGGAGTCCATTTGTTTTTATCTTTCCAAATGATGACTAAATACCTGATCTGTAGCATTTCTCCTGAGAAGATACTAGTAAGGGAATGACAGTTTTGATGCACTTTGGAATGGCACAATCACGTAAACGCTTGCACAATTAAGACTTATGAACTCATCCAAAGTTTCTAAACATGATATTCTAACTAAAAACTAAAATACCAGCACAATGCAGCAAGTTAAAAAAGAAAATTCTATGTAATCAAAATATAAACAAGTACATAGGAAATGGATATCTGTCAGTAAAACTATATCTTCTTAAAGTAGGAAACGTATGCACTTAAGAAAAAAATGTAGCTATCTGACAAACTTTGTAAAAAAAAGTACTTTCCAAATGCATAACAAATGCCAAGATATCCCGTAACTGGCCAGGTATAGCCACATGAGAGCTGCATGGCTTAGAGCAACCCAGGGAGGGGTGGGGATAGAAACAAAAACCAAAACAAAAACAGAACAAAAAAAATCACAAAAATGATAGATCAGCAAGTCTGGGGGGGTGGGGGGGAATCACATCATCATCTAAATTACTGTATGCTTCTATCACAACTGCTAAAGGAGTCGGGGGGAAAAAAAAGAGACTGCAGTTTAATGATTCTTAGAGTGATCTCTAAAAATTCAGAAGAAAACATTATCAACTTAATATACTAATCCTAAGCACCAATTTAATAATTTAAGTTAACTGTATTTATATTTCTCCTACTAGTCATGGAGCAAGTTCTGCTTGAAGGCTTAAAGTTTAACTCTGGAGACCATCTGACTTCTGTGTTCTTGCCATGCTTTCTCTGTCAATCACATCAAAGTCACTGTAAAGACTCTTAAGTTTCCAACTCTTCAGGCAAGCAATGCTTTGAAGAGACCATTATGTCCTACAGTTTAAGTCAACTTTCAGGTCATGAAAAGTGAAACACGCCAGTATTCGGTTAGTCTGTTATTAAATAGTCTGTGAAAATGGAACAGCCAACACCGTTCCTTGATAGGATTTGCCTTAGAACTAGCAGCACCCAGGGCAGACCAACTGCGAGCACATCCAGACTCCACTAGGAATTAGTAGTGTTAGAAAATTGCATATGTGTTAGATCAAGAAGGCATTGCCATACATGTGGCATCATTACATTGTTTTTCCTCTATTTTTCTCACTAAGAAAAAACAAAGGAAAACAGCCCTACAAAGAGCTTTTTGGTTGGTTTTTTTTTTTTTTGTTTGTCTTTGCACCTGGAAAAAGCAGCACAGTGCTCCCCAGCTGGAACAGCTCAGTGCTTCCCATCAGCTTAGTTCTTTCAGAAAGCACTTTCACATTGTTAAGGTGGTCTACTTCAGCTAATTCTCAGAGCTATCCTTTTTTCCAGTATATACTTCATGCCACTTCCTGACAGCATTTTCAGAACTGAAATGGATCTATGGTATGTCCACTACTAACTGTGACCAGATCTTGACACAGACCATCAAGCCAGGCCATTGGGATGATTCCACACATTGAACTGAAGCTCAGACTAAAAATCTCACTGAAACTCAAAAGCTGGAGCGGTCATGAATCTCAGCTACTTTTCTGTATTTGAACCCTCACCCTGTAATGAAAGCACGCACACCAAGGGAAAATAACAACCATCTGAGCTGCGAGCATTAAGACACCGGTGAGTTATCTTGCTGCTCTTCAGTGACCGTGGATTCGCTGTGCTCCTCACTCATCTCATTGGAGGGCTCCTCGTAGCCCTGCTCAGCAGGATCCAGGCTGCTCCCCTCGCTTTGCTCCTCGCTCTGCTCTTCACTGGCCTCCACAGACTGCTCCAAGTTGCTCTCCAAAGAAGCCGGAGAGCTGCCAGCTACACTTTCATTTTGGTTCATTTCGTTAAAAGGCTGTGGGAGAGGTGCAGGAGACTGTACAGCATTTTCACTGGCAGGGATGGGCACTTTGGTTGCACCGAGGTCTATGACAATGTCATTTTGTGGCAGAGTTACCTTCTCCACAAGTTTCCATTGAATAATACTCATGTCTTTCCCACCAGTTGAAATCAAGTGACCATCGCTATGGGTGAAGCTGACATTTGTCACATGACTACTGTGAGCGCTGTATTTGTGACTTGGAGCCTGGTGAAAACAAGCAGAAAGATAAATCATGTGGCTTGACTAGAAGAGCACATGATACCGAAAACCAAAACTACTAATATTTTTGTTTAGCCCTTCAAGAGAGGTCTTTATTCACATAAGAGTAAAGAATTATATTATTTTTCCCCTCCATAATACACCCTCTCTTCTTAAGGCTTGTAACTTGGGACAGAATTAGATCTTTATGCAAAAAATAAGGGACTTAACACCAAGACCAGCCAACAGAAAGCATCAAGGCTCTTCTCCCAAACTTAAGGATAAATATTGCTTCTTCACTTTTAGGTATATTATGTTTTATATTATTTTATATTTTTAATAGAAACTCAATGGAGAAAACCATGCTTTTGTCTCTAGCACTGTTCTCAGATACAAATGAGCCATTTGGCTGCCAGGTTCCAAAATGACCGAGCTGGAAGCAGGTGTCTGGCCAGGAAAGCTTCATGCAATGCAAACAAGCACATGGACTAGACTGGTCTAGACTTACCTTTGGCTTGGAACAGGGATACTGAAAGAGATGGACCTTACAAAAATCATCAGCAACTGCTATCACTTTTCGGTTATGGGATCTGACAAGGGCATTTATGTCTGTCCCATCTGATCCTTCCGGCCAAACTCCTAGGAGAGGATAGGGCAGATGCTTAGTGATCATAGTTTTAGAAACAAATTAAAAGACAATTCATAAACAAAAATAGAATCTATAAAGCAGTGAAAAAAGGCAAGCTTAACAAAAGATAAATAAGACATTCGACTGGAAAATGGAATATGCATTGCACTAAATATCATTAATATTTTGCTAGTCTAATGCCGCTCCCCCACTCTCTGTCTGCCCAAAACCCCAGCCTCGGCCAGGATAGCCTCTCGGGCTTGATGTGCTTCCTGTTCAAGACTTCAGTCTTGTTTAAAGCTTATCTTAAAATGAAGCTTGCTGCTAAAACCTGCAACTCTTAATTTAACACTTTCATTCATGTACAAATGTTTTAAAAGCAAGGATGATGCTGAAGCATGGAAAAAACCCAGGTCCCATACATTACGTGGAGATTTCTTTTGATTTTATTTTAAATCTGGAACAATTTCTAGTATTTCCATGATTCAAAGGAGACAACTGATTGATGATTCTTTGCACAGAATCCCAGCCTGTACAGTTGCATAGACGTTAAGTGCTGTCAAGTGCTTAAGTACAATTCAATATGCTTTTAAGTGAAAAGAATGACACAGATATGTCTAGACAAAAGAATAACAACATTGCCTGGATGAAAAGCACCGAACAAATTGGGGAGGGGGAAGGCTCTAGTTTTAACAAAAAATAAAGACCCATAGCGAAACTGATGATTCACACCTGCAAGAAAAGCTGAACAAAAGGCAAGCAAGAGGTTATAATATACTAATTTATGTCTAAGGTCTCATATTTTTACAGCTCAGACTTGGGTTTCTGACTAGTTCACGAGTTAGGAGGAATTTTCCTCCCTTAAATTTCACACACTGACTGAAAGGGATGTCCACTATCAGGTGTGAAAATATCTTCTTCCGCTTTTACAATCACTGACTTTGGTAAAATAAAATACATGTGCTGTCTACTATTTTATTCAGCATAAAATGGTGACTTAGAATTGCCTTATCTTTTTCAAACACTCGCACTACGTCTTCTTATTTTTAAGCAAAATGGCAAGGAGCCTTTAAAGTTTTTTTTTTGGTTTTTTTTTTTTTTTTTTTTTTTCTTCATTCTCAGTGGGTGGAGTAAGAACTTTATTTTCTCTGAAGAATAACAAAGGCAGCTTGTTAAGCTTGTTACAGTGCCAATAAACTACATTGTAGGTAATTTACTAAATAAAGACATGAAGTATTCAGAAACATTTTAGTGCTCTCACATCAATCTGAAAAAACATACTATTTAAAAAATTTCAAGTAGCTCAAAATGAATGAAATTTAACTTTCTCCTGCATTCTATATGTAAAATACTGTCATCAGGTAGGAGTAATAAATGAACTCCAAATTAGTTTCTGCAAGTTTCAGCTACCACCTTAGGCAGACTGTGCCAAACAGCTATGCTATTTCTTCTTCCTTTTAATTTAAGAATAAAAAGACTAATATTCAAGATTGCATCTCTTATTAACCATCTTTTGTGTTCACAAATTCCTTTAGCAGCTCTAAAGGTAAGACAACCCTTTGTCATAAGACAGCAGGATTTGCTTTCAATGCATCAGGCAAACATGGAAAAACCAAGACATTATTATGACAAAGTTCTTAGTTCTTAATAACTGTAAAAATAACAAAAAATACAAAATAATAGCACTGTTATGAGGTATGACAGCAGCACTTCAATTTTAATAGATTCTGCTAGCCAGCACTAAGCCTCTCAAAAGAATCTGCTCAGACTAAAGTGTGGGAAACGTGCAGTAAACGAGAGTGACTTCAAGTGCTCAGGGTGCAGACTGATGATACTGCTGAGCCAATATAATAACATCAACTGCCAAAAAGGAGTGATGCTATTCTCATCCGAACCATGCATTTCCATCCTCTTTCATCTGCTGACAACAGTGCAATGCCTGAACTTACGGACACATTATCCACACAGCTAAATTAGTAAAACACATATTCCAAAAGCCAAAATCCCATAAACTTAACCCTCTCTCACAAACATCAAAGTGAGCAGCCCCTGGCTTGTTTGGATCCCTGAGCCAGCTGACCCCCAGGTCAAAGCCAGAGTTCTCCTTTGGGCAGCAAATATCTGCTAGGTTGGCTTAGCTGCACTGTCTGATTTAATGGGAAAATACTTGCCTTTGTCTGAGACTGAGCCATAATTTTAAGATTCTGAAAAGGGTGTCAGACTACCAGACAATATAAAATTAAAGCGTGATGAATCTTGGCTCAGAAGTTTAAATATATTCTGTTCTGTCCCAGAATAACATCACATTATCTGCTTTATCTACTTCACTCCCAGGTCCTCTGGCACACTGAAGATTTTAAGAGCAGTTGAGATTAATCAAACTTAATGCAGAGTGGTTAAAGTTTGTATTGATCCAAAAGGAGATGCAGACAGGATCAGCAGACTTATCCACCTTTTAAAAACAAAAAGTAAAAAGGCTTCTCAAAACAGTGATTACAGGAGCTGCTCAGCTCCAGCCTGGTCCCTGTCACCAGTAGTTTCTATCTGGTAGCTGTTAAAGAGGCAAAGCCAATGGTCTAGATATGAAAACAAACTCTTTCTTCACTCCCACACCTCATCTCCTTGGGTCAGGAGTAAAGGACACTTCTGGGAAAGTGCTGGGATTCAGAGAGCTGCTCCCCTTATTCTGTCTGCTCTACCACCAAACAAAGTTCAGTAGCAAGAGTTACCCTCTGCTACCTCCACGTTTCTGGTAAGTTTAAGTAACCTGCACAAAACGTAAAATGGTTTCACCTCCAAGGCTATTTCAGAAGGAAAATTCAGTCCTTACAAAATGTTTTCATTGCTCCTGAAGAAAGATGTCATATTAGTGTCAAACAAGACAGTTTTGCTTTTAACTTTCCAGAGTGTCTCCTGAAACTTCTGATACTCCATTTTAAAAAAGGCATTTGTGCTGCACTATTACACTTCAGTCACAGTAGTGAAGACAGTGAGGAAACGACTGCTGCCAGCCTAGGCTTACATACACAGAGCATCAGGAGGAAACAGCCATTCACTGGCTACTTTACCCAAACAGCCTGAATAAAAACAAACATGTACACAACCTGTTTCACAGTTCTCAAGCTAATGGGAGTAAATATTTTCATCAAACTAGCAACAAGCAACAGTATTGAGCTCCAGAAACAGCACACTCCTGTCTATTTCTGCTAACTACTTCAAGCTCCAAATAACTCAAAAATATTTGTTTACAGTTTATCAGCCAGTCAGCTTTCTTCTCTGACTCCTTTATTTTCCCTGCTCTGTCTCAGACCTTTGGTACCCAGTAAGGAAGTGAAGCCTGGTTATAAAGCACCAAATGCCCTCGACCCAACCAATATGCCACACAAGAGTGTTAGTGCTGGCCCACAAATCAACAACAATCCTCTAAGACTACTCGGTCCTAAGATATGCAATACAGGTGCCAGAAGCTACAGAAAGCACTCAGACTTAACTGATTTTCTTCTACCTTGCATATAAACCGATATTCAAAGTTGAACTCCTAGTTGTTGTGAAGAAAAGATCTGCAGATGAAACTCTTACCTCCAAAGGATTTGCTGATTTACCTGCTTTTGATGTTTCCAACAACATGAAGAACAGAGGCAGGTATCTGATCTCCCCAGTGGAAGTGAGACTTTCAGCATCCTGCTCATACAACTTGGTTTTACAACACTGACAGGCTGAACCGTACTTTTCAAGCCCTCACAGAGGTGCTCCTCACTTATGGCCAACAGACCTGCCTTCAGCAAAAGCCGTTTGAATTGTGTGGCCACAGTCTCAAACTGTGCTATTAAAATCACATCTGTCAGCTTTGTAAACTTTTTTTTGTACATTTAAAGAATAAACTACTAGGTACAGAATCTGTTTAATCTTTAAAGCATTTTTACTCTTCAGAAGCAGTGTATATTACTCACCTTTGACTACAGATATCAAAGTGCTGTCATGATTTTAAGTCATGAACTATAACCTACACTCACATATTCTTGTTCCTATCCCAAAACATGGTAAGCAAGGAGAACGCACATGTGCCGTATGAGCACTTAAAAATATCAGCATTTTGCTTCAGTGCCTCCAAAACCGGTAGCTTAAAATGACAGCAGAAAAATCAAATCCCAAACTTCAAGACTGAAGAGAAATCAATTATACACTGTTCATAGAGCACCCAGTACTCTGTATCACAGACAAGTATTGCAGTCAGTCTCTTTGGTCTGTCATCTCAGCATCACCCTCAACAATCATTAACAGCGTATTTCTAATGACAAATTGAAGCAAAAGAAAACCCAAAAGCACAGTGTGAATAACTTAAAAGCAAGTTAAATGGTGCTTACCAAACACCTGGAAGCCTAGCACACAAGTGTATGTTGCCCAATCTATATCCTTACAGTCAGAACGATTCCTGATTAGCTTACAGCCACTTGGAATGTCCCCTGTAAAAAAAGTTAATGATAATTTATGCCATATAATTTTATATTTACATATGTGCTCTTTGAAGGTGCAGACAGTAAATAAACACATCTTAAAATCAATCTGAAATCACATTGTAGAGGCAAAGACAGATCAGTATCTTCATCAAATTCTAAATACTTCAGGCTTCCTTTGATATTTAGGAGTCGCATTTACTTCTCATTTTCCTCTTCAGATCAGTGTACCTCAAAAACACCTCCCTGCAGCTTGGGTCCCCTGCTACCTACTCTATAAAATGTTTTAATAGAGTCTGTAATAGAATAATTTCTCCTTCCTACCAGCTCCAGCTTCTGATGTACTAAAATTCAATTAATCATTCAAGAAGCTCTTTTTTTGAAACAGTGAGAAACCACCACCAGAGGACCTTAGACTGCTTTTCAACTTCTAACTAGGAAAGACTGTTTCCCAAAAGAATGTCCATCTTTCAATACACCAGCCCAGTACTCATGGGTCACAGCTCTTTTCTTTCCTATACAGGCAATTATAAATATCGACACTTCCTTTTGGTAGACTGAGATACTGCACTATTCAGACTTGAAACCCAAGTTGTGACAGGCAGAAAGAACACGTTAAGGTGACAGATGTTTTAAACTGATGGTTCTTCTTGCCTGTACAGGAACAGAACTACAAACCTCTTGGATCTTGTTAAAGTCACAGGAAGACAAGAATACAAAAGCCAATTTAAAGACAGACTGATATGCACGATACAAGTTGAACTTTTGACATAACTACTACATATTCATATTTTCACATATTAAAAAAAGACAAAACACAAAAACATTATTACCACTAACTCATTAAAGTAGTATTATTGCTTTGCTTAGTTTTCAACATCACCAGCCAAGATACAGTTTAAAAAAAACCCCACAACAGAACAGAACAGTGGCACATATCCACTGATTTTATTCCCCCAAAATAACTGGTATTGTTGACACTAATTAGACAACTGTATATATTATTTTCAATCCACAAAACTTTGGGCCAACATCAAAACATAGTGCCACTTGTTCTGTAAATTCTACGCTGTTAAACTGATTTATGACCTTGTAAAGAAGTAAGCTATATTTGGCATTGCCATTAGGCAATACCCAGCTCTGAATAACATCAAGATATCAGGTTACACAAGTTCAAAATTGGTTCCTTTGTCAGTAAGCACTTTGTACAGTCCTGATCAAACACACTCTTCTAAATATTCTGACAGCTAATATGTACTTCTGCTTCCAATGCATTTAATTTCATACTTACAGTATAGTATTTCATAGTCTCCTGAGTTTGACATTATATACTTGTTGTCCGGGGACCAGTCAAGGTGTGTAATATAGCTGGAATGTCCCTGGAGAAGAATGCAATAACACCAATGTGAAACACTTATTTTAACTCAAACAGAAGCAGAAGTTGCACCCACAGATGGGGCTGCTAAGAGCAAAAAAACATCTTCCTATGCACCCCAGGTCTGCCACAATTCTCTTGTGCTCCTTTAAAGGCTCTTTACTCCCCAGTGCCACACTCACTAACAGCTAAACAAACACAGGCTGAGCATCATGTCTCTCCCACCGCACGGCACATTCTTCACTTGTAAACTGTGTCATCCCTCTCGGACCCCAGAATGACTTACTCTTAGAAGGTACTTCAGTAAAATATGGACGAACTTACATTTGTACTTGAAATAAGAAAGCATACATGGTTACTAATTGAGAGAGGCAAGTAACTTGAACAGGATCGTTTTTAGAACCCAACAGAAAAGCAACAGATAGGACTCTTTATTTTATTTCTCTATCCATTCAAGATAATTTCCATTAAATGCACATGCATTCAAATAACTTTTGCTCAACCTAAAAACTTAGGATACCTTGGTTAACAACCACCATGCAAAACTTCAAGATCAAGGATTGCTGTTACAAGAATACCCTCGTAAGCTTTTTGAAAGTTTCTGCTATGCTTCTCACCCTGCATGCACGTTAGTGCCAGCTTCAAAATGAGTCTTTCCTCTAGGCACATGGTCATATATATAAGAATCAAAACACTTTGGCCTAATTGCATAGTTATCACCATCAAGAGCACACCGAGGGCTAAACACTCAGAATGTTTTGCCTGTGCGTAAGGTTTTTTGTTTGTGGTAACAATAATAAAGCCCCAGAGAACCCACTAATTTGTATAAGGTAGAAATAAATTATTCCTCTGTAGAGGAAAGGGTAGGAAATTAATAAAAGTGATGTCCATGTCACCCTTTTCTTCCTCCACCCTTCCATTTCTTCTTACTGCTCCTCTACCCCTGTAAGACCATCCATTTGCTCCCCTTTCCAGTCATTCTGCCAGGCAACGACACACCACTTTCTTGACTGAGATATGACAATTCATCTCCCTCTCTCAGTGGGCATTATGAAGATAGTGTCCCTCAGCCCCCCTCAAGGTCTCATGGCCCAGCCTGCACCCGCTGTGCCAGGGTCTCGCTGGAGCACTGCACTGGCTGGACCATACCAGCCTCCTCTATAGAGAGCCCTAAAAAGATGCTGATTGCTTCAGGAATTACATGTAGAAATACACCCATATCTGTCTCCCTGGCCCCGGGTCCTCTGTGAGAGACTGCAAAAACACTAAAGTTAGCCTTTAAGATTTACTTACGAACTAGTCTCTGCCTCAAGCAGAGGAACTGTGTATTGACATAACTTCTTTGCAGTCATGGGTGAGATATACGATATCAACAAGCAAACTTGCTATTTTGAAAAAAAAAATGCACAATTGGCTGGGATTTTTTTCTTCCCCCCCCCCGTTAATTTTCCAGGTCTTTGCAAGCGAACTCCAACATGGAAAAGAACTGGTCAGTCATTTCCTAAATCCTGCCAGACATTTGGCAGCTGTTAAAATTCCTGGGGGCGGTGGGGAAGGGAACAAAGCAATTGGCCAGGGGGCTCCATGCTGCAAAATCCCTTCAGGCAAGCTATCACCGAACGATGAACTGGAACATAACATTGTCATGATATTTTCAACAGGACGATCCCATTTTCTATTAAAATCTTTCTTTGGTAGCTGCCCACTGATAAGGCAACATTTCACTATTCCCTTTTCTGTACCTTTATATACAATGAACGTAATTGCTCACATTATCACTTGCTAGTAAAACTATCTGACTAAATGGAAACCCTCTCCTTCATTGGTAATGTTTATCTGTTTCAGACTTAAGTTGTATAAGGGTCAAAATGTCCACAGCCTATGGCATGGGCACACTATTCCAAGTTAAGTCCAGTGTATCAAACACTTGAGCGTGGATGCCCATGAGGCTTTCACCCCACGGCTCTCTTGGTAAATGCATGGCACTTGCTTCTCTCCTTTGCTAACAGATACCTCTGATGTAAGGCAAACAGAGACAGCACCAGCTACGCTGGAGATGCTGACACGCTGGAAGTTCATACCCCAGCCCATACCTTCACATTGCTGTCTGCATAGCTGAAGCCCTCAAAAAGCAGCTGCACGAGTCAGAACGGTTGTTTCAGCTCATCTGAAATTCCTTCTGATCACAACCACCACCACCCCTCACTGTGGAAACACTCACAGGTCAGAGACTCGCCTCTCTGGCAGCAGCAGCAAGCCTGGTTGTGACTGAAAGTGGATTTAAATGTAACAATGGGCATACAGCCCTTATGCACAAGCTGATGCCTGTTCAGGAGATAAAATCCTTCTGAAAGTATTCAAATAATGTATTCAAGTTGGAAGAAACAACCAGAAGCTGACTACCAGGAGGATTCAGTCATTCTACTTGGAGGTCACCCGAGAGGCTACTGAATGACAGAAGAATGCCAGAAGGACGTGGTGCCAGTGGCCAAGCACCGGCCAGGAGAGTGCTCCGGGTCCCCGAGCATGCCTGGATGTCTCCCTGCTTAGCATCAAACTGGTACAGACCCGCCAGCGTGCTGGCAGGCAGCAGAGGCAAGGCGCAGGGCACGTGAAACCTGATCAGCAGCGCTAGCTCCGATCAGCTAACACCCTGCTGCCTTCTGCACAAGCTGGGAGGGTCAGCGGAGCTCAGCCCCAACAGAAACCAGGTTGCTAATTTTAGCTTCTACACGCAGTCACTCAGACTGAAAAAAATGGTTAACAGAAATCTGCTTCGAGGCTTTAACGCTTCTGCCTAAGTATAACAATGTTGATTTCTCCCATCCCAATTTTTACAAACCCCTTTCCTGCCAAGGCAGAGGGACAGACAGACATACAGATGCTGGTTTAAATTACAATATGCTCTCTCCTGATACATAATACACGCAATATGCAGAAATGAGTGACCTCGTACATCTTCAAAGAGCTCACAGAGACCCTGAAGTACACAGCAAGCCAAATGTTACATATCTTAAGATTAGCCATGTGAGTGATTTTATCTTTTCTGGTTAAAAAAATGTGACATAAATGCTGTACTGAGGTGCAGTTATCCACTGCCATCCCCACGGTCTGACCTCCCTGTAGGCTCAGTCCTTGCTCCACTGCTGAGCTCCCCATCAAGGCCGCAGATCTGACTTCTCATCTCACTACCATCGTGCTATCAGCTAACCCCATCACCACCCTGGCCTGGGGACTGCAGGATGCCCTGGCTCACCCCACACCACAACCCTGCCACTGAGGAGTCCCCAGCCCACCCATCAGCCTTCCCTCCCAGTTGCAACCCACACCAGCCCCAAGCCCTCCCTGCAGCCTGCACACCACAGGGATGGAACAAACCCACTGCTGCTGATTGTCCTGGCAGCCCCGCTCCCCCGTCAGCAGCTGCACCCAGGCTACTCTGGATCCCCATGCTCTAGCAGCACTGGGTGTCCTCAGACAAATGGTGCGCAGAAATCCCTCAGACACCACACATGGCAATAAAGGAAAGGCCAATGCCTGTTTGTTTCCCCCTAACTACCAGTTTCCACTGCAAGTGTTGCATCAAAGTTGTAGAGAAAAAAAAAATCTTAGAAATAATAAAAAAAAAAAACCAACCACAATTTGGCCTTATGGTCCCCTTACCTCCCATTTCAAATTAACAAAGCAGCTTAAGAAGTTCTCTTATTTTTAAAAGTAAAGAAATGCAACTGGTGACAAACATACAAAAAGTGTTTTGAGCAGGGGATACATTCCTTAAAAAAACATTTCACATTTCAAGTGTGAAACTATTCTTATGATATAATTTGCAAATCTCATTAAGGTTCAGATGTTCTTTATGTAAATATTCCCACTGACCTAAAGAGATAGCTGAACTTAAGGTCAGGATGTTAGACAACTAAACACTTCAGAAAAAAAAAAAAGTATGTCTCTTTAGCCACTGGGACAACCTCATGTAAGTGTAAGGACTAATATAAACTCCACTACTTGTGCTACACTTACATTTATTTACCCTGGGCCAGAAATTTATTGTTAATATATCTCTCAATTCCCAATTTTGCAGTAACAATTACAGCTGAAAATAGTGCATATTTGCAACCTCCAGAATTACATATACTAACAAAATTCCATCATCTAATGTTATGTTAGTCCAAGGAGTACTTGACCCACAGGGGTAAAAACCCCTCAAAGAAGCGTAATATTTTCCCCAAAAGAGTTTCAGCACACAGGTACAAGGCATTTCTCCACCTCACTGCTGATTTTCCATTTCAAAGAAAAAGTCAATAGTCTGAGAAATTAGTCATATTTGATGCCAAAATGTTCACCTAACACATAACATTTGCAGTACCCATCAGACTGAAGTTTAAAATCAGTCAAATGCTGGAAACAAACCCATACAATGTATAACCAAAACTAAAACCAGAAAAGCATGAACTGAAAGAGTTCCACTGCTTAAACATCTTAGGGTATGTATAACATCAAAATGCAAGGACTGCTGATTATCTTTGCTCCCGAACTTACAGTGCATTTTCCATATCTGCTATACTTTCTTCCATTTTCTGTTACTATGTAGAGGTAAATAAAGTTGTCGTGGGATCCAACTGCAAGTAAGGTGCCATCTACAACACAAAATATTTGATATAAATTAAAAGAATGTTTGTTTTCCACATGTTAATGGTTTCAGATCTATCACAAAGACAATAGTATCAAGCAAACTACTGCTTACGAATTGTATTTAAGGATATGTAACTGTTTGCATTGTTGTTTTTCAGTCAGTATCTGTTTACTTTGTGGGTATGGGTTTTGGTCAAGTTCTTTCACTTCTGCTTTTCTAAACTAAGTGTCCAATGGACAGGGTATAAATCCTCAAATTGCACTGGATTTCTGGAAATTGCGGCAGCAGAAAGGCTTGAGTTTTCTGCATCACAAAATGCAGAACAGGATTTACTCTATAGTTAGCTTAGCTTGTTGGGGAGGGGGGGATGATAGAGTTGCATATAATTCAGAACTAAATAAGGCCTAAACAACAAGTGGAGCATTCAAACACTACAAGCAGTTTTCCAACCTATGTTGTCTCCATGTAAAAAAGTATTACATGGACAAGAGTTGCCCTGAATCAGGATCAAATGCCTCTGTAACGTCAATGAACATCAGTACTTTGAAATATATTGCTGAGCTTAGCAGATGTGGCAGCAGCAGAGGAACATTTTGCCCACTGACATGGCATGTTATCCAAAGGCAAACAAGAAACAGATTTACTAGAGTGTTCTTCCATTTAACAGAGAAGTTTCAGCCTCTAATGATCTGACATGTCATGTCTGAAGAGGAAACTCAATACTGGCTTGGACTACATGCAGTCCCATAGCAAATACTGAACAAACAGCTCTGAGTTTCAGACAGACCTCAGCTTGGTTTTATGATTTTGTATTAATAAACTTGAAAATTAACTAAGAAGTATATTAAAATATTACTGAAATACTAAGCTTTTTATAGAGTTTTCTGTTAAACTGCCAATTTTTGAGTTGAGAACTTTTAGTTTTTCTGGAAGCAAAACTAACATTTATTATAACAGTACAGATCAACGTGAAGTAAAGGATGAGAAAGCGACTGTAACATTTGCAGTTACAAAACTCCCAAGATTTAGCATACACAAACAAATCTATACAAAACACATATATATCTATTCACTTTTTTTTTTTTTTCACTAAACACTTTTTTCCAAAGCTCTGCCTTTTCTAGTGACTGGGGAATGGTTTAAGACAGTTTAACAGAACACACATCTCATTTATCAGCAATTTTTCTGAACGTACAAGTCTGCCTACCTACTGAGTAGCGCATCACTGAGAGCTGTTCATTGCCATCAGTGTGTATTGAAACCAGATCCCTCGTTTCTGCATCCAAAACAAACCACCTGGAGAAAGGAAAATTCCAATGAGTATCACTTCCACTACACAAAAAAGCAAGCAAAAGAGCAATAACCACTGCTTGCCTTCATCTTCACATGCTAGCCCCTCAAGGGCACCACTGCAAACATCTGTTTGGAATGGAATGCTTTTCTGGTTCACAATGTGAAAAATATATAAAAGATTCTACATACAGCCCAATTTTTTCCCCCTCCCTTGAACATTATCGTAACCACCAAAATATCTACTAAATGATAAACGTGCGCCAGACAGCTAATATGATGGCACCTTATCATCCTAAAGCCTTAAGGTTACAGATTAATTTTAATCTGCTACTTCTTCCCCATTTTGAAGAACAGCTTTGATTTAAAAACTGATCTTTCAACTTGTATGAAGCAAAGTTAAACAAAAAATCACAATTAGTAGTAGTAGAAGGGAGTAGAAAACACTTCCATACTTATTTTAAACACAAAGTATATTCTAATTTGGTATTTCCCCTTTCTATGAATAATTTTATCAAAGTAAGAAGGAATAATCATTTATTGAAATTTAATGGTTCATAGCCTACCATTTTTTTTATTTCCTTCTTGGATATTTATAATTAAGGTAGTAAGTGGATTGTTTCTTATTTCACAACAACTTTTATCGTGCAGTATTAGTTACAATGCACATGTAAAAAGCTCAGAGAAGCTTAAAAAACTCTGTGGTTCATACACTGACATGGTCACTGAAAACAAAACAGGCAAGATCAGCAGAACCTGACCATTTTGCAATGCTTCTGATGCCCAAACTCCGAAATAACACAGCAAAAATTTGCAAAACAATGTTAATTTAATAAAAATATATACACATACATGTGTATTATGAAAACATTGGATGTCAACATGGCTAAATACATTAAAGCTGTTTTCAGAATTTAATTTCTTTACTCTGAATGTCTGATCTCACAACTGTGTGCATACACCGTAGCCAGGTTTCTGTCTCTAGTGGCAAATGGCGAGTTCACACGCTGTGGAAACGAGTAAGGCAATTCCACTCGCTGTCTCATAGTGAACTCAGTGGAACAACGCTAAAGCTAGGACCATTTGTCCCATAACAAACTTACATAACCTAAAATAAACTCCAGGAACAACAGTGCACATCACTGCTTTCTGTGGATGGAGATGAGAGTCCAGCTCGTGCTGATTCAGTGTCGAGCAGCTAGGTACCTGGAAAGTGGCCTGGTCCCAATGGCTTAAAACCAGCTTGTGGTTAGAGAACCACATGAAAGAAATTAAACACCACACATAAAAAAACCCAGCCCGACATGCCATGGACTGCTGAATAATCTGTGCTCAAGAGAGATGGAACCAGTGGAAAGTGGCTAATATGTTTGCATTGGACAGCAGCAGAAACCACGCTCAGAGCTTCTCTGCTGTAATCCTCTGTTGAAAGTGGACTTTTGATTTCCAATCTATGCACTGAAGCTTTGCAGGTTCTCTGAAAACGCTGGGAGTTAAAGTTGCTGTTTTGCTATTTTCTTCACACTGTGCCCCTCTTTGGCCCTGCCAAATACTTTACTAAAATGTTACCTGGTTCATAAACCTGACAGGGGTGTGGATATTAAAGAACAAACCAAAACAAATTCAAAAAAATATCCCAAACCAACCAAAACCACAAAAGGGTTTGGCAGGGGGGAAGAGAGAGGGTACCTATGTCATTTTAACACCACAGAAAGAAAAACAACCACTCCATCGTGAGCCAGCACAGCATGATGCCTGTTTGTTTATCCTGAGCAGCAAAATTGCAGTGCCCGGATATAAAAACTGATTATCAGCACAGGAACAACCAAAACCAGCCTTCTTACCCAAACTGGATGGGTAGCCCCTTCCCCGTGCCCTCCCGAAGTGCTGCAGAGCGCTTCTGCTAGACAGACAAGGAGAGGGCTGGGCCCTCCGTGCACCAAAACACACAACCAGGGCAGGGCAGGGCGGCTGCTGGGGCAGGGACATGCCTCTTGATGCTGGCCCTGAGACTGGCTCTTTAGGTTGGTCCTTTGAAGCTGTTACCTGAACCAGGTAAACCTCCAGCTAGTATTATGTAAAATGAAAAATATCCAAAGCCTAAAATACAACCGGAAAAACATTCACCCCCCCCCCTATTTTACTGAAAGCACAGAGGTGGTGGTGTGTGGTATCAAACACAATGCAGAACTGCTGCTGCTCGTAAGAGACCACACTGAACTTCATTTGGCATTAGGAGGCAGCATTTCATGACATCAGTCCTTCTCCAAAATTTTTTCTGAACAAGAGAGACTAGAGGCAATCTAAGCTGACGAAGAAACAGAGCACTGTGACAATTTTGATATTAATTTAAGAAAGGAAGCATTGGTCACATCTAGTTCTGCTGTTTCTTGATGCTTCCACAAGCTGTAATCAGACACGCTCTCTTCAGTCTTTCAAACTCTCCCAATGCTGTGGCAAACAATAAAACTGCCAGCAAGAAAGCCTGTCTCCATGAAATGTGTGTCTAGTCTAGCGGCTACAGCAGTTCATCGGCATGGCCCACGCAGGCCCTTCTCACAAACAGCTGGGGTCCACCTTGAGACTGCGCTTCGGGAGAGGATCTTCCTTCCGACACGGAGGTATGGAACATGCAAACGGCAGCTGACCCTGAAAAAGTCCTAAGGGCTGTGAAATGCAAAGCTTGGCTGCCAAGGGAACTTCTGATCCATAGACAGGATGAAATAAATGGATGAATAGTATCCCAGCCGTACGACAATGGCTCTTTTGCTTTTCTGATTTTTATTGATTTTTCTCCTAATTGTTGCTGAAGATAACACGCTTAACTTGTTTGTGAGTTCATGTAAACAGGACAGAATTTTTGCCATTTTCATCCATTTCTTGTCTTCTCATTCTGTTGCTTTAAAAGAATACTAATAACCTATCTAAAAAAATATGTTTTTAGAAACAAAACCCCTTAAACTACTCTCTTTTGGAAAACAAATTCTGACCCATGACAGACATTTATTACTGATAATTCACATCTGTGAATGCAGAATTTTTCTGATGAAATCACGAGGGAAACATCAACTACAGTCCAAAGCAGTAATATATTTTTGCAGTTTTACTTGCAATTCCCACGTTTAGTTAATAGCAAATGTTGTGCTTGCAAGGCATTAATCAGAGTGAACAAAACAGCCCATCTTACAATATTGGTTCCCTGGGATATTTAGGCTTCTTCATTTTAATACCACAACAGATGCTGAGCTGGTATAAATCTCAATAGCTCTATTTACTGATTTACCACCTTGTGGCTCTGGCTTATTCTGGTCTTGTCCCTCAGCCTTTAATTTTCTTAATAATGCTAGTATTTTTGTAAGAACTTTATTAGTCTTTTTTTCTGAAGTGCTTTTGAGTACTCATATGCACAGCACTCAAGATATTCTACATGATTAGTCACAGAAAGGTCTACTTCCCTGCAAATAACACCCCTGGCAGCACAGCAAAAGGCAGTACAGTGCCTTGAAAACCCCACTTTTCCAGCATGATTTCTGACTGCCAGCACTTTTTAGTTTTCCAGCTGTGCATTTCCAGCACACAGCAGGATCCACAAAAAGTATTAATCCTCTCCAAATCAGGCTTAATCCAAGACAGTTGATGATTAGGCACACAGAAGGTATTTAAAGATGTGGTTAACAAAACCTGCAGCAGACCATTTGCAGACAGCCCAAAAAGGGAAACAATACCAAAATACCCATCATGGGAAGCATCATGTGAAAAGCACACCAAACCCATGACATGTTGGCCTAGTAAAAAACACACCATTGTGAAACAACAGACAAGAATGGGGAGAGAGGTAGAAAATGCAGTTTTCTTCAGATGTCACGATTTTAACCATCAAATCCAACTTTCTTAATGCTCCACTCCCTAACCCTGTCTTACCAACCTCCGTACTGGAAGCAGAGCAGCACTAGAATGGCAACAGATATACACATCCAAGGTTTGCATTTGTTGAGTCCTAAACATATTAGACTCATTTAATACTTGCTTTAAGCATTTTGGGCTATGAATCAAGTTATTAAGTGACTTGTTATGCGTCTGAGATTATTTTCTCCTACATTAATCAAGCTATATCATGCAGCCCTCCTACCTCGGGAAATAACTCCCTTGGACTGGATTACCTGGCACAGAAAGCACCACGTGATGCCGCTGGTTAGGCAGTAAATTTAAAACTGGTCTGTTTATCTTGATTCACAACTCCATGTATTTCTCATCCACTTTTACACTTACCAGGCCTCATTTCCATTCAGCTTCATTTGTATATCTCAAACATATCACTGAACCATGCAATTTCAGAATGCAATAAAATATAGGTGAAAATATAACTGCATAGTTCAAAGAACAGGGTAGAAAAAACCCCAAACCAAACAAACCCAAGGCCATCATCATCCAACACAGTATTAACTTGTTGTCTCAAGTAATTTAAAAGTAAGAATTTTTCAGTTCAGCACTTTTCAGTTTAAAGTAACATTAAGTGCTCTAGGAAGGGGGTGGGGGGGGAGGGGGAAAGTCGATCAAAAGCAAACAGACTGAATGCTTCAGCTGCTCAATATGCCTTGACTGTGCTTTGATGTAATTTCAAAAACGTCTAATAACTCTCAAGAAATGGAGCCTGACCTTCTTTTCACTTTTCCCTGTTTTTGTGCTTTGATGTAATTTCAAAAATGTCTAATAACTCTCAAGAAATGGGGCCTGACCTTCTTTTCACTTTTCCCTGTTTCAAGTACTATTAGGCCAGTATCTTCTGCTCTGTTTAATGAAAGTAGAAACATTTGTTCAATTTAATGCTATAATTAGAAAGAGATGAAAAAACTGAAAGGCACAGTGCGGAAATTAAATATACAAGACCTCAGCAAGATTTTTCTTAGGAAGGTACACTAGGTTTTCTAGCCTGATGTTATAGCTAATGAATTTAGTGCTGCCTGAATTTTCATCTTGGAGAAGGAAATTCCCTAAAAATTACTTAACTTTTTTTTTTTTTACCAGGAAAGTTTAAGGCCGTTGCACACACTCAGCAGTTTCTAAAAAGCAAACTTTAAATGGTTTTTAGGTATGAGGTTAGGTACAAAAAAATTCCTAGGGAGTGAATCAAACACACGCACACACACACAAAAATCCCAATTTTCTTACATGCACGATGCATTATTTTATCATTGAGTTGTCATGAGGTATAACTGAAAAACAGAATAAAAATGCTAGTAGATTTAATACGTGCTTCTCTCACTTTTCTAATGCTATAAATATCCTGTTTTTTCTTTTCATTGGTACTGGCTAAAAATCTATTGAATGAGACTCCTTTCTTGGGAGATGATACCAAGCCAGAGTTTGACTATGAATTAAAACATTTATTTTCCACCACTCAAGCCCGAGTTAAAAGATCCAGCTTGTGTTTTGATAGCTTTCAAAGATGCAGTGATTTCAAGAAGAATGTGAACAGCTGGACAGCACTTAATTAAAGCAATGGGCCATGTTGAAGTTACACAAAAATCAAAATCCTAGCCTGTTCAATTGCCTCTCCAGGTCAATTTAAAAGGTTGCAAGTGTGTTTGATTTAGGAAAGGGAAAGGTCTATACTGTACCTGTCTCATAAACTAATGTGACATACACATACAATACTAAAATACAAGATAACTTGGTAAAGCCAATATAGAGTGCTCATGGAAACCCCTGCAAAAAGAAACAGTTTAAAAAAAAATATCAGGGCTTTTATTAAAGAGTAGTTAAAAAAACAAAACAGCCTCACAACAGTCAAATAATCCTGTCTTCATCTAGCCTGTGTAAGAAAGATTGTTCCCCTTCCCCAAGCTTTTAAGGCTACTTAACCTCAAGCAAAGAGAATAAAAAGCAAATGAATTCCAATATATAAGACCTGTAGTATTAAATTGTCTCCTTTAAATTTTCAATCATCACAAGTCAGTCAAAAGGCATTTACCTGCCCGAGTGCGTTCCTATTGCGACCACTGCTCCACTGGGATGGAAGTCAGCACAGTGCCCTGGTTCCTGAATGAGACAGGCACAGACATGTCATTCACCTGCCCGCTTCCTTACGGTCAAACACCTCTCCTTGTACCAAAGCTATCCTAGAAGTCTGAGGTGAACTGATACAGGGAAAACCAATCAGTTAGCAACATGATTATAATCCTGAGACAGATTTTCTTTTAATGTATCAGTGACACACACTACATTACTTTCTTGAAATAAAAAGCCTAATCTCCTGTGTGAGAAGATACTTTTGCTTGGGTTTTAGGACACAACCAGCCAAAATATGAACCGAACAATGGCGGTAAGGAAGGACATCTAAAGCCAAACTTTGCACAACTTCATGATATTCTCTTTGGATTGTTGGAATAATTGGGAAAAAAGTCAAACTGTAACAAGAACAAAGGACTAAGTTTTATTCAACCTGGATTGTCAGAACAGCATCAGACAATGGCAACCGGATTAGTCTACAATGTCTGATAAGTCTGGTTAAGTTTATCAAAGTTTCCAAATAGCTGTTTTTAATGCCATAACTACAGGATTTTTGCTTCTCTTGCAGTCACATGGGAAAAGGGTGTTGCAGAAAACTAATGGTTTTTCCTATTTTACAGCTTTATTTTTAACATTAAAGGGTTGACATACATCTAGCAGCCTGGTCCATTCCAGTGTGTGGTCCACAGAGTTCCACATACAAACTTGCCTATCTTGGGCACACGTTAAAAATAAGTCTTTGAAAGGATGGGATGCCAGTCCCCAGAGTTCATCTGTATGTCCCTGGAAAGGAAACACATATGATTTAACAATGAAAAAAATAAAGACTGTCTTAACACAGCAGCAGGGAAAGCCTTTAGATTTTTGGGTTATAGTTTAAAAAAAAAAAACCAAAACATAACAGTTGTGCTCACCTGTACCTCTACTAGGAAACCATCATTAAATGTTCCCCGCAAAACAAAGTTTCGTGAAGTACCCACTAAAAATTGATCTGCTTTTCCTTCAGCTACTGCTCTGATTGTTCCGTACTGGTCAGGAACCTAGGAAAAGAAACATCTGTAAAACCACATCACACATCTTGATAGGCGCTTATTTTTGAAGCCCACAAATAATGCACAATGACAGCACCAGGACTGCAGTTCTCCCAGTAAAAAGGAATAATCTAATCATGTATACACTAGGTCAGTACTTGACCTGAAACCTACCTACCTTATTTATTTGTTCAGTACAGGCATGGATTTTTAAGTGTCAAATATACTAAACAAATGCACTCCACAACCTTAAAACTCATAAGGATAGGAATAATACAGAGTTACTGTATACTTTTCAAAAAACATAGTGAAAACAAGAAAAATCTTGCAGCATACAGTAAATGCTTCCTGACTAGCTTTAAGTATTTTTTATTGCATGCTTCAATTCTAATACACTGTTTTATTTTAGAGTGTGAACTTGTTTCATTTTCTAAATAATTTAACTTTAGAAAATAGATTAACATTAGCCACACAGAATAGAAAAATCAATGCAATCATTTGGAAAGTTGTCTATCAGGGTTCTAGTAGTATTTCTCAACATAAAAAAATTAGCTTTAACATACCATTGTTAACAAAAGGAAAACAGAGACACTGACATGAATAGAGTGTGTTACTTGAGCCTAAGAGTTGTATATGACAGTCAATGCTTGCTTACTTACTCTCAGCCATGTTTTCTAAAGGTCAATATTAGATTCAAGGTAATAACAAACTCTAGATGGAACTAAATATAAGCATTAAGGAAAAAATGCTGCTCTAAATGGACACTAGCTAAGTGGAATAAACCATTATTAGAACAACTGCTTAAGAAGATCACATTATTTCAAGAAGTGATCTTATTACCAAAAAAAGTATTTTAAAATCCATAATGTACAATTTTTTTCCAGTTCAATCACAATTATTTGTGATTGGGCTACATGGCAATGCTAAAGACATACATATTCACTGAACAGCTGTTTTAGGATAAAGCCAAAATAAGTTTCTCAACATAGATTATTAATCATTAATTCTTACAGAATACCCATTTATATCCTACCAATTGTTTGCCTTATGTCAAAAATTCTATTAAAACCCTCAAATCCTGGTAAAACACACTTTCTCCAGACAGGCAAACTTAACAATAACACAGTGGATACTAAAGAATATCCTCAAAAAAGCGATGAATAAAAGACACTACGGAAGGGGTTAGAGAAATTAAAAACCTTACAATTTATGTCCAACTTAAACACAGAAGAACTGAAAACTCACATATGCTTATTTATAGGCTGAAAATGTAAATACTTTTATAATAAAACATTGTCATCCACTTACAAATTCAGCAACCAGAAGATAGTCTACCATCCTAACTACAGATCCTCCATTTTACTAGTCAGTACCTTGCTCAAGGCAACTTCTTGTCACTCTTGCTTTCTTACCTCAATTTCCCTTTCAGGATTCAAATCATGATCCCACAGGATGATCTTTCGGTCTTTCCCACCTCCAGTTAGCAGCATCCCATTCCTCATTTGACAGAGTGTGAACACACTGCCATCGTGAGCTTTGATTTGTCTGCTTATCTGATATACTCCTACATGCACAAAAAAGAAAATAATAAAGAACAGTACTTGTTTTTTCACCTGGGGTTTACAAGAAGCTGTGCCTTTGGCATAAGAATAAAGTATATAATGGAATTATAGAGTAATAGAATCAAGTATATAATAGATAATTACACTTGGACTGTTAGGCTATTAGTATTGCATTAGTATCACAAACACAAGGTGGTAGTGTTTTCTTACAGGATAAAAAGAAAAAACAAAGGACTTGCCTTTCTTAACAGAAACTTTTTTGAGACTGATTGTCCTACAACTTGCGAAGGCAAGAACAACAACTATCTGCAAAATGCTTTCATTTCTCAGCTATCCAAGGGAACACAGTTTTTCCAGATGCAAGAGAAACTGTCCTTTAGAGTCAATAAATATTTAGCAAGTCATTATTAGAAAAGAATTAAAGTTATTTTATTAAAATAAACACAAAGACTTGTTGTCTATAGTCTTATGGGAATAAAAAGCAAATTATTTATAGTAAAGTTTCCAGGATGTGTGAACCTAATATCTAATGCTGGATGTTGCCTCACTTAAAAACAGTATAACCAGCATCTGGCATCTAGTAACAGATTCCACCCAAAGGAAACCATCAGAAATAAAAGAGAGATGAGAAAATTAAACAACAAAGGTAGCAAAGGAAGCCTTTTGCATCCTAATTTGGTGTCTTCACGTCAAAAGAACTGCTGCAGGAAAGTATATTTTTAAAAAAGCAAGCTTCTACTGCTTTGGGACTAGCATATTTTCAAACAGCAATCACAGAAAAAGCCTAAACCACCACCCAAATAAATACCAGCTTAACTTCGCTGACTCTGACTATGGAGCAAGTCACTTCAAATCAGTATGCTCTTACACTGTGAAAGAGAGTTTGAGATCATGTCCTGTGACCAATCTCATGTAATAAACCAATTAAAAGATCCCATATTTAATTAAGCCAATATAAATAAATGTTCTATTCAATATATTTTAAGATTATACTGGGAAAAGGTTATTTTTGCACAAGAACTTCAAGAGCAGATAATTTGTTAAGTTACTTTTATATTGCATTTAGCTTGAAAGACAAGAAAAAGATTTACCTACAAAAACAGACTTACTGTTAAAAATTTACTTTTTACATGAATGTTTTCCTGGTATACCAAATTAAACCAGCATTTGAAACAGCTGCCAAGTAAAATAAACTATGCTTGAATTTATATGTTACCTTAGGGCTCAACTGTGCCAGGTCTGCATATGTTGGGTAACAAACCATTTTCCTCTCTTTTTTACAAAAGCTTTGCCCTAGAGAGTAACCTTAACCCAAATTTGAAATAAGATGGGGTTTAAAGCATATTTTACAGCCAAGACTCAAGTCAGATACTGTTATCTGCGTAACTGGTACAACTACGCACTGTATTTTTCTTACACATACAAGTCCTATTAACATCAGCTTCAACACTTAAAGGCATTCCTCTGAGATTAAGCATGGTACAACATAAGCCTTAAGAAGCAAAGGTAGCCTGCAGAATCCTCAAACTGATCCTAAAGCCTTTTTCAAATCTCAGGATGAAAGGAAACTGATTAAATGCACATTTTTTAAAATGCAGAACACTTAGATAAAGTAGTTTTAATTCATTTCAGGCATAGTCTCATTAATTATCAAGCAACTAGACTGCAAATTCATGAGACTTGAAGGAGTTTAGTACCGTCTGTTAACAGGAGGAAGTGTACACCCTTAGTCAGGCCTGTTACCCTATTCCTTTTCTAATGCAATCCTTTAAGTTTATCCTTTATCTAAAATCTGTGATTAACTGCGAATGTATCCTACCTTTAGGTCCTTTTCCTGGAGTAGATTCTACAGTAGTTTTGCCCCATATAAGTATTATCCCACCTGAGTCTCCAGTGAGCACATCACCATTTCCCAAAAAAGCCAAACACTGAACAAATTTGGGCTTTTCATATTTCTGAAACAAAATAAGCACAAGAAAGGGATAATTGTTTGTATTCTTCTGTAATTAGTATAATGTAGCCACAGTCATACACCCTGCAGACATGTAAGCAAAATTTAACCTTTTTTGTTTGTTGTTACATGGTAACAACAGAGGAAATTTATAGAAACCGCGAGCAGATAATTCCATTGATTTAAAACTGACCTGATTTCAAGACATTCTTACCCCAAATATCCCTTGCTTCCTTGATAACGAATTGCCACTCCAGGTCCAGAAAAATATATGAGATTTGCCACATGTTATTATGGTATTTGCATCAGTTGGATGAAATTCTACAGCAAGAACAACTTCATTTGTAGTCTGAAATAACAAAAGAAATATTTATTCAGATGGGACATTAACTACTAAGAACACATACAAAATCCCAAGTTTCAGAACAGAGATATGAAGAACTAGACAGCTCATTTTATGCTTGAAAGAATCCATAAGTGTTCTGTGCTAAATCAACTATATGAATTATGACACATATTTTTTATATATTGATTTTTTTTACACTCATAAGAGATCTTCATAAAACTTCAGTAGAAAAGTCATGGTTTTACATCCACTTTTTAAATCACAAAAGCTTCTGCCCTCTGGAATAGCTAAGATTTCTGCCATGGAAAGTGAATGATGTATAAAAGACACTTTTGGGTTGAAAACCTTGTTTACTTTCTAAGCAGACTAGTTTGCTATCCTGTATAACAGAGGTGTGACACAGGCAGCTGAGACAATGGTAATACAGTAGGATTACATTCATCATGCTCTTTCTGAAATTCTGTAACAATTCCTTTGGGTTCTTTCTTCCCCTCCTTTCCTCCTCATGAATTAGAAAAAAAAAAAAGAGGCCTGCATAACTCAAAACTCTGAAACGGAGTCCCACCTTTGTATTTGTACTGGCTGCGTATACTGTTACTGCATTACTAACATTTCAGTGAGTATTTAATCCTTTACCAATAGATTTTACAAATATAACAAACTGGTCGTTCATCTAACTTCTAATGTATACTCAACCAAACGGTCTTTGAAGACAATCTCCTGGAGACAATGACTCTACAGAACACTTCAGTAAATGCATAAATGCATTTACTTCTATGGGATTTACACCGATGCTTTAAAGGAGTACACATAGAAGTGCTGCTGAATGAGGACCTGTGGGAGCACCTTTTCCCACCTCTCCATCTGTGGCGCGCTTTAGGAAAAAAACCTTAAGTTTTGCTTTTTGTTCATGGCTGTATTTATTGAATTATGCTTCTCACACCGAGTTACCTCTCCATGAGCGGATCTACTACATCCACAAATCATATGGAAACTAAGGACTGAAAAATTTAATGGGAGTTCAGCTGAGAAAAGGCTTCTGTTTGGGCACCCTAGCTCAAAGGATGAAACTCTGCTCACAAGACCTATCGTGAAAGGTGCTTAAGATACTGCAAGATCAAGTCCTAAACATGAATAAGTACTGAAGGGCAGGCTGTCCCTGACAAATTGTTTTTAGACAATTCTGAAATCCCAAGGAACTCCCTGAAGAGTGAAAACAGTAAAAACATAATGTCAATAAAATGCAAAATACAAGGCATATGTCAAATAGCTTCACATTAAATATCAGCAACAAAATGAAACTACTGACACAGAATGACTCAAACTTACAGAACAGAATATAATTAGCATTGGTCAACATAATTTAAAGAAAATGGGCCAAACCAACCTGATTTTGTTACCTGAAATTGCAAGTTTGTAATCACAAACATATGCTTGTAGGGTATTCCACTTGCTGACTCATGATAAAAAAAATTTTAAAATACTCAGTTCCACATCCATGCAATATGTCCTTGCTTCATATTGTATAATGCAAAGCAAGATGTCTCAAAATACGGACTTCAATAGCAAGTTATTATTGGATCGGGTGTTTCCAGTGGAATCAACTTTACACGTACATTGAGTGCAACACCTCTGAACGCTTCTCATCGATCAGAAATTTAGAATGTTACGAAAGAAAGAGGAAAGCAAATAATATTTCAATCTACAAAAGTACTAATGGAATTCAAATGAGAAGAGACACATGTACCAAGAATCAATGTTTGGAACTTGATTCAGACAAAAATCAAAATAAGGAACGTCTAAAAGTATTTTTTATTTTTAAATAAACAACTACAGAACGAATCATCACTTCAGTTTCTTAAAGTTCCCAGGATTATTTTTTAAAATTAGGAAAATATTAGAGACTTGCTTTATTTGGATTAGCTCTTAGGGATGAGTAAAATGTAATTATAAGTGCTTCAATATTCAAAATCCTTCCAATATGCAAGTTAAGAATACATTCATTTGTGCCCTTACACAAGCCAGCAGTTAAACAGTTGCTGTTTCCAAGTAAGATCAAATGTGTGTCTCTCAAACTGTTGTATTTAAGGGAATAAAAACACTTGTATTTCAGAATATTAATTTGTGCAATAATTACCTTTATTTCTGCTATTTTTGATTTCCTCTGCCAATCCCACACAGTGAGCATATGCTCATTAGAGTCATCAATTACACACAAATGAGTACCAGAATCCTAAAGAAAACAGAAGAAAAAGAAGTGCTGACAAAGTACTATCATACCCCATTTAAAAACAGGGCAGGGCAGTAGTATTTTAGAAAACCACAAAGATACAACCATAAATTGAACATATCATAGAATCATAGAATGGTTTGGCTTGGAAAGGACCCCAAAGATCATCAAGTTCCAGCCCCCTTGCCATGGGCAGGGACACCCTCCACTAGCCCAGGTTGCTCAAAGCCTCATCCAGCCTGGCCTTGAACCCCTCCAGGGATGGGGCATCCACAGCTTCTCTGGGCAACCTGTTCCAGTGTCTCACCATCCTCACAGTGAAAAATTTCTTTCTAACGTCTAGTCTAAATCTACCTTCTTTCAGCTTATACCCGTTACCCCTTGTCCTCTCACTACACTCCCTGACAAAGAGTGCCTCCCCATCTCTCCTGTAGCCCCCTTCAGGTACTGGAAGGCTGCTGTTAAGTCTCCTCGGAGCCTTCTCTTCTCCAGGCTGAACAACCCCAATTCTCTCAGCCTGTCCTCATAGGGGAGGTGCTCCAGCCCTCTGACCAATCTCCTTTTGAAGTAATTATAAGCTTGATACATCTTGTATTTTCCTTTCTCTTAAAGACAGACATAGACTTTTGCATAATCTCATAAAAAATGACCATGCTTCAAATAATATTCTACGAAAGCTTTAAAAGTATCTTATCAAGGCTTTCCCTTTTAGTTTGTTTTTGTGGTGGTTGTCTTTTTTTTTTTTTTATTTATTTCTTGTTTGCAATACCATGTTAGTAGCAAAGAGGTTTCTCCCTTTTTCTATGCTGCAAGTATTTTGGTTTTCCACATGTCACAGAGGACAGACACAGGGCTCCACTTGTGTTCTTTTCTTACATGCCACCATGACATACACACAACTTTATCAAATTTTGTAAGCTCATCTGATTTTCTCCTCACGGAACATTAAGTACCAGCAATTTCATCATGTAGTTGGTAATACTGCAGCAAAGGTAGCACTTTCTGAATACAATCATGCTTACAGAGCAGAAGGACCGGCATCTACAGTATTAAATAACTGAAACATTACTTTGAATGATTTTACAACAAAACAGTAAATATGGCTATATGGAATTAAAAGAGCAGACAGAAAATCTTAGAAGAAAACCATACTTATTCACAGCAACACATACTTGCACAAACCATTTGTTTCAAGGACATGTGTAGAAAGATTTGGAGGAGGCCTTATTTATTTTAAAGTTGATTCTCGCAGTTCAACCGCATTCTCTAACAAATTATGAAAATAGAGGTGGCTGAAATTATTAAGTGGAAAGACACCCTGAAGACAGCATTGGCGACATACACAGCTCTTGGGTGGGTTAAGGGCATTAAGGAGCAAAAGCACAATTCTAGATACTGCACATTCACTGCTTCAGTACAGCGAGGAAACATATGAGACTGTAGTAAAGAATCAAAATCAGTTTAATCTGCAAAACAAATAAAAACTAAAATCTAGTCTTCAAAAATACCTTAGTGTTTGCTTGTTTGTTTTGTTTTTTAAAATGATGAAACGTATTTATTCACCTTGAAAAAATAAGTACCTGTGTTTAAAAGTTGTATTGATTTGTTAGAGTGACAGGAATGACAGTATTCCTCTAATGTTATTATTTTATCTATGCTACCTCCTATTTGTTAACAACAAAAAAAAAGTCTTTTATTTACTGAAAGACAAAACCTAGATACAACTGACTTGGCAACATTTCAACATGAAAGCATTTCTTTTCCACAGGTGGCCCAGTGAGACTGTTCAGTCTCCATCCTTGGAGATACGCAGCACACAGCTGGACCACAGCCCAGAGCAGCCTGCTCTGGCTGAGCCTGCTGTGAGCAGGACACTGGACAAGGTGATCTCCAGACCTCCCTTCCCACCTCAGCTGTCCTGTGAATTTCTTCCACTATTAGCAAAATACAGCAGACATTCTTTTTCTGCATTTTTTTTCACATGTATAAATTCTTCTTGCTGGGATGCGAGAACCACAGCCTGGGTTTTCAGGAGGTCTGATATGTCCTAGGGCTTTGGTGAAAATACAAAGACAGCTTAAAGATTAAAATATACATGTATTTTACAAAAAATAAACTCACTGTCAATTTAGAAATGACAACTTTATCAATGCCAAGTAGCACATTTCCATTTACTATTGATTTTTCTAACAAATTCTCAGGGCCCAGTAACAAGACTTATATATATATTTTTTTTTCTATGTAAACATAGAGGCACAAATTGAACAAATTATTCCTTGGGAAAAAAATCATACAAGATAATGTGGGTTTATTTAATTTCCTGTTGGTAGATAAAAACCTACTCCATCTGTGCAAGCAGAAAAATTACCCTTTCTGTCAGAACTCACTGAAATTTGTCTTCACAAACATCACTAACAGACTTGTCTTTAACATCGAAAAAAAAATCAAGCCCCTCACAAACAAAACCAAACCACCAAACCTAGCACAGACTTCAATTTCTAGTTAAGGCTTTTCCTGCCTGCTTTTTATTCACTGTGCTCATTTGTTACCGCAATTTTACATGTGCAATTTCTTGTTTTTCCAGCTAGCTCACTGCGAGTTGATTTTATGAATTATATGTAAACTTTAATGACACATTTTAATACCAAAATGGATCAGCTAGACACCCACATACAAAAATTGCTAGAGATTTCCTTGGTGTCAACATAGGATTGGGTAAATTATTTAACACAGTATGTAATCACACCCATCTTACCGCTTTTGAAAAATCCAAACACCCCACTCCACGTTCAAAAGTCCCGAGGCCGATAACCTGCAGCGTCGCCAGGCTCACCGAGTCCCATACTCTAACATGGGGCTGCAGAGGCTGTGTGAAAAAGCAATGAGACAAACAGCATCATCAACAGTGAAAGCATCACATGCAGCTGTCAAGTTTTGTTAAGCAGATGCTACCTGAATTACAAATGGCAGACCGAAATGCAGGATGATCTGTGCTAACAATGCTGCTGGACAATATCTTGAAGGTCAAAAGGTCAGAGTCAAAAGAATCTTTGCTCCCTATGTCTGGGCAACAAACATTGCAGTAGGGCTGTCGAGGCAAGAAATTAAATATGGTGGCATTTAGTAGCTGGGGAAATGAATCTTTGCCCAATTTAAATAATGGAAGAGTCATCTTGCATTTCAGACCCCAGACCCAGCAATCTTGTGCAATAACTGAAAATGACGACCAAACCTTGGGGTTTTTTTAGTATATATAAAGTAGGAAAAAAATAAAATAAAAAAACCCCCAACCTGGTGCAACAAGTCCCCTAACCATCCATCACCAACCATTCAATGAAAATCTCCATGGTTATATTTCATTCAAGTACTATCCCAAACCAGCTTTGCTTCATAAATGTGAAACAATCACAAATAAAGTGGGAATTAAGTTGTCTTAAGGACAGCATTCAGCACAGGAAGTGGTAATAGATCATCCCACTGACAGAAAAGCAAACCAACCAGCCCTAACAAGAGATTCAACAGATGTTCAGTAGAAATCACTACAATATCTATACAAAAAACCCCGCATCAATTTCTTACAAAATATAAGAAATTAAGTTGAACATGTGAATAAGGATTATATTCAATGTGCTTCTATACCTCACAGTATCTGTATTCCCCCCCTTTTTTTTCCCCTCTAACTTCATGAAGATAATCCAATTATTCAAATTCTGACAGAGTTCGCCAACAGCCAGGGACAAGAGCATTTAAACGCACTTGCTCTCAAATGACAAAGTTTGGAGGGAAGCTCAACACACCTTCCATGAATTCTCAAAATGAGTCTCCTCTTCCATTAAACCTTAAGAGTACATTGACCCACAGAACAGGGGACGACTTCTCTGGGAGAAGACTTATTAAAATAAATGTGACAGAAATTATGTGGCCTTATAAATTAATTATAAGCCTCATATTTGCTTGCAGAATTGAAATTGAATTTCCTGTGTCACAGATAAAGGACTTTATGAGCTTCTGCTCTATTTGATATACAGCTGAGTGCTCAGTTGTTACTGTCTTTTGCTAGAGATATAGGCTGTTAACTTTGAAACAGCAAAATATCTCAGTAAATGCAGTGCATAAAATATACTGCAAACAGAAGGTGGCGATGAGATTAAAAAAAAAACAAAACACTTTCCTGATTTTCAAAACAATATACTACTGCTCAACAGCTCTATTACTTACCCTTCCATCTTTATCCACTCCAGCTAACTGTCCTGTTGCAATTCTAATTTTGTCTGGATGAACTGCAAGACTAAGACAGACAGAAATATGACTTGCTTTTGCTGTCATAGGTCTTCAAAACTGAGAGGTTTTTTGTAATTTTTTTTTTTTGTTTCTCAACAGAAGCCCATGAAGACACTTATGATGCTAAATGCCACTTCTAATGAGCTTGAACATTTTTCATCAGACTATTTCATTACACACTGTGCTAATGGGTCGATCAGGCTCTTGCGATGGCTGCTGGCACAAAACCAGGAGTGCCAGAGGAGCAACTTCTACATGTCCTCTGACAAATCTAAGGTTTGCACTACGTCAGGAGGCCACTGTAACAAAATATACACCGTCTCATTATGAACTTGCTACACATAGTTATACACCATATTCATAAACACTACAGCATATTTTATGCCTAAACCTACAGGTAGCATGGCTGAGGGCTTGTGCACCCAGGAGTCAGGGATTACTGCCACTTCGAACGAGTTACTGATGTAACTGTACTAATGAAATTCTCTAGCATGGTGCACTAGTGTAAGTAAAAATCTGCTTTCGCTTATCACATTTTGGTCTGGAGCTGATGTGAAAAAACAGATCCCCTTAGTCCTAGTGATTTTTTTTGACAGATCTTATTTGCTTTCTCTGTAAAATTACAAAGGTGAAGAAAGCTGTTGAAACAGGAAAGGGGCAGCAAGGGGGAGCCTGAAGAGGTCAGACTGATGGACACCAAAAACATTTACAATTCCGTCTATTTTTTTGAATGAAAGTGAAGAACACAAGACTGACAGCATTCCTCCCACAGGAAGCAACAGCCAGGAGAGAGGTGTAGATGGCAGCTCTTTTCCATTCAGACACAGCAGGGAGCTTATGTTCACTGTTACACCATGTGCACGACTCTTCAGACTAAAGTCCTAAAGTTAGCAACTGCCCTTGCACCCACAATGATGCTGGCTTCAATTTCCCTGCTTCTCTGTTTTGTTTTGCAAACATCTTTCTCACTTCCCAGACAGTCTTAATACTTGGATGGGGCATCTATTAAAAAGTGAGAAAATTATTGCTCAGTTTTCCATTTGGTTTTATAATTCTCCTTTAAGACTACACCTTTGCCATATTGCCTGTGATTTAGAATTCGGCTGGCAACAGTTTTTAATTTCTGGGACATCTATTTAGAATAATTTACACAAAGATCCCTTCTCCACTCTGGCACACTTAGATTGTCTACAAATCCTGGTGTTTTACATTTGAGCCAGAAACCCTAAGCTAGCATGGGCTGCTCTGGCACTGTTCACTTGTGCAGTGTTTACTACAGTGAAACCTGCTGGGACTGATGAAACAGAAAATTACGATGACATTAATGAGTTCACACATACAGTAGGAGAGAATAAAAAAAAAACCACATTTCTGCATTATTAGACACATATTTACATGCAAATGTTACATACTAACCATTTAACACAGTCTGTATGACCCAAGTAGTGTCGCTGAATTCTCTCCTCATAGTTAAATAGTACCACCACCGATGCTATGAAATATACAATTTCTCCGGTAGGAAGGAGGTAAACATTGGCTCTACAGTCTCTTCCACGATACCCATATCTATATGTGTAAAGTCAAGGTTTTCATAATCACTGTATACCAGGAAAAAACAAAACAAAACAAAACTTTTTTTTTTTTTTCTTAAAGGATTCCTGGTGACCTCTCATGTCAGCACATGCCCTGTACGTTTTTCCTCTGGAACTATAGCACAATCTCAGTAACAGTTTAAAAAACTAAAACAAACCCCCTATAATTGGACTTCAGGAAACCAAACCCCTTAAAAATGCTCATTGATGTTAAAATATATAAGGCACACTGAAGTAAAACAAATACAGCGTTGTCATTTTATAAAAACCTCCACGTGAAATTTCATTAGGTAACAGGAGGACTCACCATACCGGCTTAATATTTTTTAAAGCAACAGAGCTGTGCATCTGAACCCTGGGCATCAGAGTATTACTTCCATTTGGCCTTTTAAAACAAGCGTGTGAAAATTCCTAACTCCCTTCAGCAAAAGGCAAGCTTCTGCACAGCAGCTGCCAAGTTCAGGAAATATTTCTTTAGACTGTTTTGGAGTATTTTTAAAACAAACAAAACTCAAAAGGAACTGACACAGTGAAAAATATTCTATCCAAATGTACCCAAAATATATAAAAGGGATGATTTTTGTAGGAAAGCTTCATGACTCCTAATGACATTCAGAAGTTTTACACACCGTGAAACAGCCTTGGTTAGCACTGATTAAATGTTATTACAACTCGTTATTTCTTTGCAACAGGTGCAATTTTCTCCACCTACACTATCAATGTGGCTGTCTGCCTGTACATCTGTTCCCAGGGTCACTATGTACAATTAACATCAAAATTCAGACTTTAACAGTAGCTTTGTAGTCTCAAAAAATATAATTTTCCTCTTATGTCATGCATTTCAGAGAGCTCCCTGCTTCACTGCCAACTAATGCACCTGCAACAGCAAGGAAAATATTGGAAATACATTCAGCAACTTGAGCTAAAGGATTCCAGCCTTAGGTCCTGGTTAATCAGGTAAATAAAAAGGAAGACAAAGACCCACAATGGAGAAAGCTGGAAGGATGAAACTGGCCCTTTATCATAAATGAAAGCACGTGCAGTAGTCCAAGTTTGGGAGTATCTAAACTGACATCTAAACCGACAGCCTGACCTCTACTCTTCTTGGAAACACACTACCTTGCTACCAAAAATACCACCACACCCCTACCAGTGCCACCCCTCACCCCCTAAAATCCCCTACTGTGCTACCCTTGCTCTTGTGCAGTCCGATCAAATCACAGGACTGCTATACCACAGGAACATTTCCAAAATTAAACACATGCTGTAACTAAATAATGCTCCAAAGAGGAATACTGCATTCAGTTGTCAATTAATTCTCTTAAGAGAGTATGGAAAACAAAACAGATTTGTATCTTGCTGTTTTCCATTTATTACAGAAGAACACAATGGCTCCTCTGAAGAAGAGATTATTCACTGGCTCGCTTAGCAAACGATATTGAGAGAAATGCTGATACAATACAGTGCTGAGAGCAGGAAAAAAAAGTATGCCTCTGTTTCTCTTCCATCACTATTTACTTTCCCACAAAGTTTTCCTCTTTCTTCTTTTAAACACTGATGGAACAAAACAAACCTCCAGAATGGCTTTTCACAAAAAAACCAACCAAACCAAAACAATCAGATCACTGAACTTTCAAAAACAATGGGCTACAAACCAATGAAAATATTTTTTCTACCCTGAAGCATGAAGAACACTATTCTAAATACCTTCTCAGAGGAGAAAGGCAGATTTTCTTAATCTGCTGTATACAATAGGGAGTGCATTGATAAGGATTTATTATGATTGACATCTTTGAACATTCATCCTAGAAAAGCATTAACAATTTATGCAAACACGCGTTTTCACAGCAGAAGTGTATCATGCAAAGCTAAGGCTAAGTATTTTGGCACCCACCATTGAGCGCTGGCATTCATGAAGCTGCAAAAAATGGTTAATGTTTTCTCAGTTCATTCCTTTCCTTTACTCCTCCTACATATAAAGTATGAAAGAGTGGCTGCATTTTCTAGGAGCATGCTTTTTAGGAGCACGTAAAGGAACAACCTGTTTTGTGGGAGAAATTTTTTGCTTTCTTCAGTCTTCCATCCCAGACTATCTTGAGAGAAAACAAGAAGGGTTGTTGCTCCACAACAGTTCTTTCCTCCTCCACACATTCAGAACAAAGCAGCAGATATGTTAATAGGCTAATTGACCGTCTCTCTCTCCAGAATAGCGGTGACACAACTTTGATGCTTAATTTCCACCAAATTTCAGTGTTAATCTTTCAATGAGACTTATGTTTCAACCAGGGAAATTCAAAGATGGTCTTCATATTGTGACTGTTGCTCACCAGTTACAAGGACTGTTTTGTTGAAACATTTGATATGCTTAATAGCTTTTAGTTTGGGGCTTTTTTTTTTGTTTGTTTTAATTGGCTAAGAATAGACAGGGCTCTCATGAAAAGTGGTCCACTGCACACTAGAATTCAATAGTATATTTACCACTGACTTCCATTATTCTTAGAAAGAAGAGCACCAGTGCAAAAAAATAATCTTACAAAATGGAGTCAGAAATACCCTCCAGAAACTGAGGTGCTATACATGGGGAGAAAGTCTATAAAGTCATTGCCTGTCAACAGCAGCATTGACTGTATCCTCTGAAGCTGCTAAATAAGCCCATTTTGCTATTACTAGGAATGGCAGATATCGTTTAACCAGTTCTGAAGTGCAATAGGGAAGATTGCACTACAAAGCAGTGATACCCAAACAAAAATATTAAATTGAAATGAAATGACTCAGGAACCAGACACAGTCAAGAGCTCCAACTTCCCCACAAGCTACTTTATCCTGACAAGCAGCTTAGGTATTTCTTCAATTGACAGTAATCTGCAGGGCAGACAAAAGCTATGTGTGTTCTGTCGAGTTCCGTTCGTCTAAAAAGGACACCCCTCTCCCAAATGAACCAAAGAACAAAAAAAACCAAAAACAAACAAAAAAAACCCAAAACAAAACAAAAAACCCCACCCCAAGAACCCTTCTGTTCTTGCCTTTAAGTTGTTCATAGTTGATCAGCATCTTCCAAAACAGTAATACTGAAGGAAAACCCAATTCTAAACAATTGTCCAGAAGGCAGGAGAATTCAAGTGGTTCAAAACAAAAACTTATAGATTGAGCAATTCAGCACTCAATTGACCTTTCAGGTGCAAAACACTGACATTACTAAAATGTTCTGTTAATCACTATCCCCAGGACTTTTTAGTATGGTGTACAGGCTGCAGCTCGCCATCATATTTGGAAGTTATGGCTGGTTTACAGATTTCTGCCTCTTGCTAAACCAAAATATGCAAAAAAAAAAAATTATCCTCTTGCTAAACCTTCATATCCAAAAGATACCCTACATTCATAAATGCACTGCTCTGATTTAGGAAGACATATCCTTAAACTGATTCAAAAAACATATGGACAGTCCATTTAGATTAGATTTATTTCACTTTAATTAGCCCTCA